CACCGCTAATACACAAAGGTCTCCTAACCCCGTCCCCAACCCCCCTCTCCCCCCACCCCCGGGGCTCCCAGGGTCCTCTCCTCCCCCGTTGCAACTGGACGGCCGTAAGGACGTGAAGCTGGTTTCCGTACGAGTGGCGGGTACGGAGCTCAGTACGGGGCAATACACACTCACGGAGAAGCAGCTGACATTGAACCACCTGCCGCCGGGTGAGGAGGGCCGGGTGGGTGGGTGAGGGGCGGGGGCAGGGGTGGGGTGATGTTAAATTGGGTTAGGGGAGTGGTGGTGGGGGGAATATTTGTGTGGATGGTTCGAGGGACGGAATGTGTGGTTGGACGGTTTAGGGGGGTGGGGGGTTTAGGGGGTTGGGGGGTTAGGCGGGTGGGGGGATTTAGGGGGGTGGGGGGTTTTGGGGGGTGGGGTTTAGGGGGGCTAGGGGGTGGGAGGCTAGGGGGGTGGGGGGCTAGGCGGGTGGGGGGCTAGGCGGGTGGGGGGCTAGGCGGGTGGGGGGCTAGGCGGGTGGGGGTTAGGCGGGCGGGTACAGATTGGTGATTAGCACCAGGAGGGGTGGGCGTGTGTGTGTGTGTGTATGGGGGGAAAATGTGGGTTTAGTTGGGGGGGGAATTGCTGATGACAGCCATGCGATCTTTTTTTGGATGTGTGTTGCAAGTTTGTCGTACCGTCGTGGGGTTTTTCACTACAATTCCCTTTTTAAGAGTATTCCTTTCGTTCTACTAAGAGTTCTAAATTTGCTTTGCATTTTCCAAAAAAAATCCAAAATTAAACATCCATATTTAAAAATGGAAAAGGCGAGTTCGAGTTGGAGGTGGTTACGGAGATTCGACCACAAGACAATTCACTGCTGGAGGGGCTGTACAAGTCCAGCGGGAACTTCTGCACGCAGGTGAATGTACGGACGACCGTACGGTCGTACGCGGCGCAGCGTTAATTCACATCTCCATTCCCGTCTGTCTGTATGTGTACATACTTCCCCACCCCAAACCCATATCTGTCCTTTACACCGTCCCCATCCACCCCACTCCGGTCCCCGCCTCCCGCGTTTCTCACATACATATGATTTCTTCGCGTCCTAGGGCCCCATGTCCATGTCCATGTCCTTTTTCGAACCCCCTCCCCCTCAACCCCTCACTCGTTCGTTCGTTCGTTCGTGGTTCGTCTTTCCCCCCCAACCCCGTTCACTCGTTCGTGGTTCGTCTTTCCCCCTCACCCCCCCCTCACCCACTGGACCGCAATTTCATTCATCACTGGTCAGTAAATGTTTTTGCAGTATTTGTCTTCTCCTGGACTACATCCGTCTATCTCTGGTATCTGCTTTAATCGTCACTGGTTGGTTTTACCCTCCCTCCGTCGTTGTTCTCCCCCCCTCCCCCTACGCCGCCGCCGCCGCCGCCGCCGCAGTGCGAGGCAGAGGGCTTCCGGGGCATCACGTTCTTCCTGGATCGACCCGATGTGATGGCCAAGTGAGTGACGGAGCGGATCTGGAAGTAGGATTTCTCAGGGGGCCGGAAGGGAGAGAGGGGGAGAGGAGGGAGGGAGGGGGGGAGAGGAGGGAGGAGGGAGGGAGGGGGCATTAAAACACAGCCACACCTAAAACACAGGAGGGGCCAAACCCCCCAAACCCCGGAGGAGATCAGAGCAACCATGCCGCACCATGGGGGGGAAGGAGGACGGGGGAAAGGACGATTGTACCTGTCGCTGTGGTCGGGATATTGGACTGGACTGGTGGGGGGTCTATGCACCGACAGAGCTTTCTTTACGCAACGGTCGTTGACGTTGACTGTACGACAAAGCGCATGCTGACGATGTGACTAAGCGAACACGGCCCAACTCCAAAATCTCTCTCCTTTTTATGTCGCACCCCCTCTCCTGCGCCAGCGGTTTGTTCCTTGTTTCCGTGCATCTGATTCCTCCCTTCCGCCCGGGAGGACCATCGTTGATCCTTTGTCTGCTGCTGTTAATGACTTTCCCGCTCAACCCAAACACACACCAATACACACCCTCCTTTCCCGCCTGCTCAGGTACACCACCCGCATTGAGGCTGACGAGGCCAACTACCCCGTACTACTGGGTAACGGTAACCTAAAGGAGGCGGGGAAACTGGAGGGGGGAAGGTGCGTGTGTGTATGTATGCACGTGTATGCACGTGTACGTATGTATGTAGTCCGTATGTATGTACGTGCATGCCCCCAGATGGGAGAGTTGGGCTGTGCCAGCCGCTGTGTTTCACGCCACCGTCCACCTTCCCCGTCCACATCACCCCTTTACCACACCTAAAACCACCCTTTCCCCCTCCCCCTCCCGTGGTTCGTCTTTCCCCCCTCCCCCCTACCACCCCTGTCAGGCACTACGCGCTCTGGGAGGACCCCTTCCCCAAGCCCTGCTACCTGTTCGCCCTGGTGGCGGGGAAGCTGTCCATGAAGGAGCGGACCTTCGTGACCTGCAGCGGGCGGCGGGTGGCGCTCAGGATATTCGTTCAGGAGGGGAACCTTGGGAGGGTGAGTGCGTGCGTATGTATGTGTGTATATGCGTCTACGAATGGGGGAGGTAAGGGGGAACGATGCTGGGAGGGGATAACGGAGGGCAGAGGCCTTCATTTTGAGAGTGTGACTTGCTATTGCTGCTGTTGCTGATTTGCTGATGTTGTTATTGCTGCAATTGTTTTTGTTATTGTTGTTGATGTGATGGCGTTTTTGTATAAAAGATGTGCCTCTCTGTCCTTGTGTCCGCTCATACACATGCGTGTGTGTATCGCACCGCTCCCCCCCCTCTCCCCCCTCCCCTTTCCCGCCCCTCCCCTCCCCCCCCAAAGGTGGACCACGCTCTTGACTCGCTGGTTAAGTCCATGAAGTGGGACGAGGACACCTTCGGACTGGAGTACGACCTGGACCTGTTCAACATTGTGGCGGTGGACGACTTCAACATGGGCGCCATGGAGAATAAGTCCCTCAACATATTTAACTCCAGGTAGGACCGGTGGTGGTGATGGTGATGGTGATGGAAGGGGGGCTTTGTGGGTGAAGGTGATGATGAGGGCGTCGACTTCTGAGGCCGCAGTGAATAGTGGGCCGCCGCCGCCACCGCCGCCACCGCCGCCGCCTCCCCCAGGTGGAGACGACGACCCACATGTTTGTATGTCTGTCATCCTTCCTCCATTTACCGCTTACCATCCACCAGTACGCACACATACATACATGCGTACAGACTAAACTCCCCTTCGCCCCCCAAAAATCCTCTAGAAAAAAACCCTCCTCCCCCGGAACCCTTCCTAAACCCTAAAAACCCAAACCCACATCGCAATCTGCATGCTGACGTGTCAGGCTTGTGTTGGCCTCTCCGGAGACGGCCACGGACTTGGACTACAGCCGCATTGAGGGGGTGGTGGGGCACGAGTACTTCCACAACTGGACGGGCAACCGGGTGACGTGTCGGGACTGGTTCCAACTCACCCTTAAGGAAGGGCTCACGGTGTTTCGAGACCAGGTGTGGGACTGTTAATGTTATTGGGGGGATTTGTCGTACGCGTGTTGTGTGTGTTTTATGAGTGTGGTGTGCGTGTGGTTTGTGTGGGTGGTGGTGGTGGTGGGTGGGAGGTTCTGGGGTTGGGCTTGGTGAGGGTCCGGGGGGGGGGAGGATGGGGTTGAGAGGGGGGCGGAGGAGAGCGGGGAGGAGCTGGGAAGGGGGTTGATTTGGGTTCGGTTGGTGAAGTATTTACTAATATGGGGCGAGGGGGGCTGCGTGCCCCTTGTCCCGTGTTGTGTTTTAGCTCTTTAGTACTCAAGAAGGATTCATACAGGATTACTGCGCTTGAATTGTTTATAGCACAATCCCCGCCCGGGTTCCTACACCCTGCAATACACATACCCTTTTTCCTTTTTCATTTCCGTACTGGCCGTGTGTCGTACTTCGAACCAATTTCCGTACATTCTATTTTCCGCTCCTCGCTTCCCTCCCAGGAGTTCACCTCGGACATGAC